TTCGACTATTCCGAATGTAACTCGACTTCTACATGGATATTTACTCTGAAACCGGGTGCCTAAATTGCTAGAAGCATTATAATAATAGATAGATGATTTTGTTAATAATCAGGGAAAATATATTTAAATATATGTATGTATATATATGATATGCCAAAAAACTTGCTATCTGAACTTCGTGAAAGTATAGATAAATGTTAAATAAGTAAAATGTAGATATCGCTCATGAATTTGCACTTAAATACAAATAACGATCCATTTCGACACACTCTTCTATCCCCGCTTAGAGTACTTAAGCTTCGGTTTAAGCCTTAAAGCCCGTTCATTGTCTTTGACACATTTAATTCGCTGAAAGGGCGACGATGCACAAACCCCTGTTTATCACGTGATTTGGGCGCTTAACAAGCAAAGGAACCCGCAAACGTGTCGCAAAAGCAAATAAAACTCATGATATGTTTGAGCATGAAATCAAATTTAAATTTAAATACATAATATAGCCGAAAAACAATAAATGACATCATTGTTTGTTTGTTTTGCGTCGAATGGGCAACGCTTGAACTTTAATAAACTCTGCACTTGTTTCGTTCCGTTTCGTGCTTCTCTTGTCCATTCGTCTCGTCTTTGTCCAATTCACATTTGTGACGTCAACAACGGGCCTGTGTGACCAGGTTTTAATTGTTCGCAAGCGAGCTGATAACACCTTAACGTAATTAGTTGCGATACCCCTAATGCTCAAATGTTAACAATCTGAGCTGACGCTTCGAAATTCGGGCTGTCGCTCATAGTTCAGGGTAAGGCAGATTAGCTTGGGGTTACTATAGATTAGATTCAGATTTCAATTTCAATATATACAAAGAGAATTATATTATTTTTACATGGCTTGAGGGAGCTTCATTTAGGTAAGGCTTATATACAAAATCTAAACCTCTGTAAGACCTGTTTAAGGTATTCCAGTATCTAAAATCGAAAACATTGATTAAAATATATATTATTTCTTTCAGAATATAAATTATGTGAGTTTCGATAACAACAATCGATAAGCATATGCTTGTAAACTAACATAGATTACCTTATTTTGCTACCTAACCTCGCTTTGGCGCGCATCATTAGGGGTATGCCTAGCATTCCAATCAAACTAACTCTTGAGCTCTACGATATTGTCAACGAATAATATTATCGAATATAATTGATTATTGAAATACAAATATGCTATGCTTGAACATCAAATTCAATGTTGTCGAATATAATGAGGGTGCTCCCTTCCTCTTTTTAAGTATTAATTTAATTATCAATTTCGTGAACGCAAGGGTCAATGTTATCGATTATAAATATGGGCATTTTACAGTATTGAAGACCTTTACAGTTCATTAAGGGTATGCCTCTCACACAAAAGTCAATGTTATCGAATATAAATAGGCGTGTCTTAACAGTGTTGATTATTTGTAATCATAATTAAGGGTGTGCCCCTCTGTTAAATTAACTTAAATTCAGACCTACACCAGGAAGAGTAATGTTATCGATTTTCATTAGAGACATGCCTGGCTGCTGCTAAAATTAATATGATAAAAATAATTATAATAAATAAAATATAATACCATATATTGTCATTAAGGGTATGCACCCTGTTAAAACATCTGCATTAGGGGTATGCACCTTGTTGAAAAAAAATAAAAAACTAATCGAAAAGCATTATCGTTATGTATTAGGGGCAAGCCTTAAACGTACTTGGGTCAAAGAAAAACCCAAAGCAAAAAAATGTTTTTCTCTTAAGCTTTTAAATTAGTCGCTCGATTAATTTGCAACTGTGTTTGTTTTAGTTATTGGCGAACGTTTCTTTTTGTTGCGCCTTTTTTTCGCTTTTCGTTTTTATCAAATGCGATTTACAAAGCCATTGACCGTTGTCCGCAATGACATTGGGAAAACACACGAGCGTATACTCTACATTGTATGCATATATGTATATATATGTGTGTGTATATATACTTTATTGGCATTAACTGAAAGAAAGAGAACAAAAGTCACGCCATGAGTCATTGCACTCAACGTGGGTTCGTCCAGGCTGTGACTTTTACTTTTCAATTATTTTCCCTCTGTTTTTCTCGCAGAGGCCGCAAAGAACGACGAACAGGCGCATTGCATCCGAATGATGGAGTGGAGCGGGGGGCCTCCCACAAGGGCGGCCGCCGGTTCAAAAACTTTCGCATTTCGTCCTTGTGGTGTCAGGGAACTGACCCGGGCACAGCCTGGCTTGACTAACCCATTCAAAAAGCGAAAGAAAAGAATAATAAAATATTATCATTCGTTGCGAGCTGGCGGCCTTTTTTTTTATTTTATTGCCGCCCCGACTTTAATTATTTTGCATGCTCCGCAAATCCCTCCAGCAACAACAACAACAACAACAATAATTATCATATATGCGTATATTTTTTATTGCTTCTTGATGCTTCACTCAGTGCGGCATCAGCAGCGGCAGCCATAAATAAAATAATTAACTTATTTTTAAAGTTAAAAGCCAGCGTAATGTGCGAATTTTCATTTTATCAACAACATGCTTAAAGCTGTGGAAATGCTTTTAAATAACTCAATTTGAGATTCGTGTAAGATCAAAATAAATTCTGTAAATATATAACATAAATATTCTCTTAAGTGAAAGATGTCGCTTAAGGGAAAATATATGAGGTCTACATTTGAATTTCTAGGAAAAGGTCAACCCTGACCAAAATTTGAGGCAAAATTCTTATTTCTTTGTTTTTTACCGAAAATGTTTAAATTTTGCAAAGAGTAGAATACAATGAAACGCTGTTTTCTACAATTAATATTACAAAAGTGAATCTCGAGTAAAAATTAAGGAAAAAAAATTCACATAGCGTGTTCATATTAAAAAGGGTAAGAATTATTGGAAATTTTCCTGATATTATAAAAAGAAAATGCTGAAAGAAAGTTGACCATCAAAGACTCGACAATTTTGCTTTTTAGTTTCTTTATTTTAAGCTTCACAAATTACTAAATTCAATTTCGTTTTCTCGTTTCCAAATTAATTGAACATTTTTCGCTAAGTATGGTCACACTGTAACGCTCTAGATGTGCCTGCATTGCAACGCAAGTTGACAACACTGACATTCTGCTCCTGTCTAACAGAAAAATGTGCAGTTAACAGCAAGCGCTCATTTTAACAGAAAATGTTAATGTTATTATTTGAGATACAAATAGGAAATGGTTAATATAGAAAACCTTTCGAGTTTAACAACATGTCAAATAAGTTCCTTAGCTGAATTGTAATAAACAGTTTATAAATGTAGTTAAATAGTTAATATTACAAATGTTCAGCTCAGTGAATGTAAAAGTGTTTATTTAAGATCTGATGTCATAGGCTTCCAAAAAAAAAAAAATCAAAGTACTGGCATTCCCCCTAGCACAGTGCACTCATAAAATACTTCTTCATTGACTCATTTCCCAAGCGAATTACCAAGCTTGAAATGTGTGCTCACCTTTGACTTGCCAAAGTAGTTGCAATTCGGCACCCGGAGCATGACCGAGTCTTTCCCATTTTGGATGTGACTCACTGTTGCCACTGTGGCCTGATATCAATTGAAGCCATCTTTATGATGACACATTAACCATTGCCATTTCTATAAGGGAGGGGTATTGCGTGCGAACACCTCAACACATTAAAGGTTGCGCTCGCTTCTCTTTCTTGTCTGAGCTCATATATACACATTATCGTTCGATTGCGAAATCTAAAGTTCTGTATGGTCGAATGCCATGCACTATTCGGCGCTGGCCATGATCTATAACCCATAAAACTTGGCTGTTTGGTTCAATGTACTCGTTCCTAAAAATGCTAATCACAGTCGAACGTCGCCGCGCTTTAATCAAGAATATATTATTATGATTATCGCGTTGGCAATTGTCGAAAGTCCTTGAATGGTATTTGTTTGCTTATTTATTTATTTTTTTTTTTTGTAGTCTGACTTGTGAAAAACCAGTTGGCGGCTTTTTCAGCCCGAAACATTTGCTCAAGGTGAGCGTAAATCTGGGCGAGTGGCTCGCCATTTACTGAGAACCGAACTGAGTTTTTAGTGCTCGAAAACGTTCGACTATAACAGTTATTATTATTATTTTTATGGCTTTTAGCATTCAAATTGAACTCTGGGTGATTTTTTATTTTATGTAATTGCAGACAATTGTTGAATGGATTATGTTTGTTTGTCTTTTTTTAGTTTTCTTTTTTTTTGCCAGTGTTGCATAATTAAATGCGACTCGAACAGTGCTCTAATATGCAATTTGCTTGTTCAGCCAATAATTAAGGAAATACTTAACTGTACGTACATGTATTTATTTCCAGCTGCTCCACTGACATATTAAACCATTTCAAATCGAAACTGACAGACCGTTACAAAGGAGTGTTGTGAGGGGGGTTGGAGGTGGGGAGGGGACTTGCTTTCAATCATTTTAATGAGCCAAGCGAATGTGTTGTTGTGTTGTGGCAACATTTGATGGGGCGACGCTTTGATAGATCTCAGTTTTATCTTTCAATTTTTTGGCTTTTTTTCACATTTAATTTTGCGAAAAGCTGACAATTTAATTGCGCATTTGACATTGCGCTCAAACGGCGACTCTTTTATTTTTCCGACTCTTTATTTTTGGCTTGTAGGAAGTTTTATTATCATTTTCATTGACCTCAATCCCCGCAAGGTCAAACTGAAATAAACCGCATTTGTATTTGGCCCGCGGCTGAAGCTGCATCCCAAATCGCGTGATGTGTTTTTAATTGTTGACATTTGATTTTTGGATATGCGAGAAAATTAAATATATTTTAAATATTGTTATTTATAGAAAAAACGTAACCTTAAAATCGGTTGACGAAGCTTTTAGAAGCCTTAAGATAAGTGGGTTAAATTAAATATAAGTATTTAGTGAATGCTTCAAATATGCATTTCTTTCAGCTTTTATTCTTATGCTATTTTAAATTAATTAAACTTTAATTGGATTTTTTTCAGTGCATCTGGAACAAGTGCAGTTGCGATTGACAACAAAATCGAACAGGCAATGGTAAGTGCAATACTTTCCTTCATAAGCCAAGCTATAAGTAGAATCGCAAGTCCTCGTCTTTAATTATGCATTCTGTATGGAGTGTGTTGATAAGCAACAAAAAGTTATCTCTAGAGTTGTTTTTATGCTGCTTATCAACGACCGTGAATAATAACAACGAATTGCTCAAATTGTTATTCTGCAATCCAAAACAAAACAAAAACATAAAGAGCTGCAGATTACCTTTAAACCTGATCTGATCAGCGACTGTTGCACTTCAAAAAAAAAACCAATTGAGACTGTAAAAAGCAGCACTTGAATTTGGCCAAAGACCCGAGCAACAGCCCGCCTCTCTCTGCGCTTCTCATTTGTCTGCAAATTTAGTTCAATTGAATTGATAGCTCGCTCGCTCGTATTCTTGTACGCAGCTATTTTTAGACTCAATTAAAAGAGCAGCAAAGCTGACAATTGTGTTTATTATTTGCCAACTCTTTGTTAAAAATAAACCATCTCCGACAATTGTGTTGCGTTTCCTTCAATTGAATTGCGTGCCGCCAGCTCTTGTGGGCGGCTTTTGATTGAGCTGAACTTTTGCGCCCACCCAGCTATGTTGCGTTATATACGAAATATATATTCGATATATATATATATGTATATATATATATATATATAGCCTTGATTGTTTTGCTGGTCTGTCAGAATGGTCGCTCTTCGAGTTGAGCCCAAACGAAACCTTGACAACAACTACAGCACTTGGACTATTATAGAAGAGCCTTATGTTGCGCTAATAATATTACTTAACTAGGTTGATTTGAGTTTTATGTTGAAAGGCTGTTGAGGTATTCTAGAGAGCCTTTAAAACTCTTTGCAAACTAACATAGTTAGATAAGTGCAATCTACGTATAATCAATTATTACTTCCCTGCCTTCATTCATTCACAATGTCAAATGCTCGCAAGGTTCTGTTATCGGACCTTCTTCAATGGGCCAAATGTGAATGACGTCAAATTATTAAAGATTATCTCAAAACGATTAAAGCTCTCAACTAATCCAAGCCGGGCTATTGATGGGTTATTAATTGACATAAATTGCAGTTTCAAATAGTCCAAAATGTGATTAGAAAATGAATTTCCTCGAAGGAATATATTAATATGATTTAGTCTGCCAAAGTACTTTAAATTAGTTTTAAAATCAATTTTCCAACCTTGCTTCAGGAATTACAGGAATTTAAATTAAAAAAACAACTCGATTAAGTCTTAATCACCAATCAATCATTCAATCAATCAAGCTGGAATGTATATATATGCCATCACGGATCTGTCTGTGCCCGAGGCTTGACACATATTGTTGCCACTTGTTGCATGCAGATGCGGCCTGTTGCAGATGCGGCTTGTTGCAGTTGCAGTTGCTCGTTTAAGTCCAGTCAACTTTTCCTTTTGAAATCAAATCTATAACTCTTCAGACAGCGAAGAAGAAGCAGCAGCAGCCAAAGCTGACCATTGTTGGTCAATTGGGTCAGTTCAATTGCCGTCTTCTGCACTTTCTTCGGGCCAATAAAAAGAAAAGGAAGAAAAGAGCAAGAGAGAGAGAGATAAAAAGCCCAAAGCTGATTCTGTGTCTGTGTCGCGTTTGCTTGCCTTTCCATTTGTCTGAGAAGTTTCTATCGCATGTGAAAGTCAATTTTCGCAATTATGTTTCACTTTTCTTGCAACAGGATTTATTCCTCTTCTCCAAGCTGCGTTCGCTTTTGACCTTGGCAAAAATCAAAAATAAATAATAATAAAATACATTATTAAAGCATTTTATTCGTGCTGGGTTTTATTTTTATTTTATTAGCGCTCGCCTCGCGCTTATCAGCAAATTCTGTTGTTTACAAAATGGCAGACATTTGCTTAAGTGTGTGTGTGCGAGTGTGCGAGTGTGTGTGTGTGCGTAGCTTATCGCGCGGCGGCACTCGAAAATGCCATAAATTGTTTGCCATTCCGCTGCGCAAAGCACAAAATAATAATAATAATAATGAACATAATAAAATACACACACACCCGCACACACACACAACACACACTATAATCGCTTAAGTACATTTTGTTGTGCCCATGGCAAAAACAATTTCATTTTTTTCAAAATTATAATTATACTTATATCTGATCCAAGCGAAAGTGAAAGTCATCAAGCCTCACTCTAAGCAACAACAAAAATCTCCCTTTTTGCTTTTTTGGATATTTTGAGTGAAGTGTGAAGTTATATTTATATTATTTTCGGTGGGGTTTAAAAATAGAAATGACACCTGAAGCGCTCGTCAGGTGCACACAAAATTACATTTAATGAGTTGTTTGTGCGATTTCATTTTTAGATATCAAAGTAAAAACAATTGTCATTTTATCAAAATAGTTAAATGTTCGCATAAAAGCAATGCGATAAACTCCGGAAAAGGTGCTGCCGATTAGATAAGCGAGTCGTAAAAGTATTCTAAACTTTGCCCATTCAAAGTGGGCGTTTTTTTGAGTTTACAAAGTATATATACACAAATCAAACTTATATTTGCAACATATTATAGATAATAGCTGACAAACCATTGACATAAATAACAAATTTGAGAGAGAAGCTTTTAACTTACTTACGCAGAGGCACAGCATACCAAAGCTCAGCTTTGAAAACTTGGCTAAAGTATATCTGTTTAGTATGAGATCTAAGTTCGTCTCTATAAAGAATTATGTATAAATAAGCACATTAACATAATTCGTCGTCAAATTTTCATTTGAACTTATCTAATTTGATCATTTTACTGCAAGTAGTTCGAATCTGTTTTTAATGGCACAATATACATTAATCCTCAGCATTGTGGACTTAACTACAGTATATCCGTTTAGTATAAGACATAATGTGTGTCTCGTTATAGAATTGTATATATAAGGGAGAAGCTTTTAACTTACGCAATAGGAACAGCATATTAAAGGTCAGCTTTGAAGACTTCGCTAAAGTATATCTGTTTAGTACAAGCCGCAATGCTTGTCTCTATACTTCATTCATACTTCATCATACACTTTTCATTTTAACTTATCTAATTAAAGAATTTTACTGCAAGGAGTTTGAATATGTTTTTAATGGCACAATATATAATTATCCGCAGCATTGTAGACTGAAATACAGTACATCTGTTTAGTATAAGACATAATGTGTGTCTCGTTATAGAATTGTATATATAAGGGAGAAGCGTTTAACTTACGCCAGGCACAGCATATTTAAGCTCAGCTTTGAAAACTTAGCTAAAGTATATCTGTTTAGCATAAGCCGCAATGTTTGTCTAAATTAAGAATTTTGTATATATTTAAGCACATAAACACAATTCGTGTTCAAATTTGCTTATTTAACTTATCTATTGAGGTAATTTCTTTGCAAAGAGTTCAATATCTCGCAATCGAAAGAGTTCATGCCCCGTCTGAGTAATTCATGTGACGACATTTCGAATCTGTTTTTTGTGCTCTTCATAAATTATTTAAACGCGCCGCAAAAGTAATTTGTTATCTACAAATAACGCGCATGGCTTATACATTTTTCGTAATTTATTTACGGCAGGCATCAAAATATGACATCTTTCCTGTTTTACAAATTCAGGAACAATGAGAAAACATAAACAATGCAAACACACGCCCTTCGTGTGGGCGGAAGTGTGGCGTTGGCTTCCTCAAACAATGCCTTCTATATTTACTTACGTTTTGTATATAAATATTCATATATATATAAATGATTCTTATTTTGTTTATAATTTGTTTGCTTATCAATCAAAGTGCGAATCAGTTCATGACGTCACTTTTTTTGCGCATTTAAGAAGAGTTTCTTATTGCCTTTTCTTTTGGCAAACACGACTCTTGCCTAGGAGAAGGAGTATATGTATTTGCCATAGAAATATCAGCAGTTGCTGCGATAAGAACGGGCCTAGGGGCATAGACAATGTTTATTATGCATAGAACAAACTCTGGCGCGATTATCTATCCTATATAAGTATGGTAGCCTCCCCTCGACACTCTCACGTTCCACTTTCTTCTTGGGCTAATCTCTTTTGCCCGTTGCGCGCAAATGCCCTGAAAATATGTATTTAATCTGCTGTTGAAGAACAAAAACATATTTCAGTCAAAACAAAACAAAGTCTAGGCGCCACTTGGCTGGCATTTCAGTGATTAAATATTACTTTATTTTTTCTTTCTTGAATCTTTAATATATACGTTGTTCCTGATAAGGTTTTTAGGTTATACTAATATTTAGTAATTGATTTAACAAATGCTTATCAGCTACTACGATTCGAAGCGCTAGACTATATGAAATCAAACGTTTGTCTACAAATTTTGATAAGCTTTTCAACTGACCAACGGGAAATTGAAGTGCATGTAAGGTAAAGAGATATGGAATACCTAGAATTTAGCATAGGGTATAATATATGTGTGCTATATAAAGTTTAGAAAACTCTAAAGCATACTTTTATGCTGTTCTTTCTAATCCCAGAACAAAGTGCTTGAAATATAATGTTATTTACGTTTTTAACTATCAAATGTTGGGCTTACATATTGACAAATTATTCGGTTTGAGAATTTTCAACCTTTATAACTTTTTAAAATAACATATTATACTTATTCTAATACCAACAAAATGTTCATAAGGTCAAAGTCAAATATTCTATCAATTTTGATTGGGAAGCCGTAATACTTTCGAAAACAAACTATTTAAAGTTAAATAGTGTTGAAACGGAAAGGTAAAATAGAAAATAGACTAAACCTGACCGAAATATTCATTTGCTTGAAAATGGGTGGACAACTTTTCAAATCGAAACGTTTTCTATAACTCTTGACAGTTTCTTTAACCAATTAAAACTTTATACTCATAGAAATCATTGAAGCTTTACGCTTAATACTAACTTTGCTATCAGCCTCAATCGATTAAAAACCTTCACCAAAGATTATATGCCTTACCTGCCGCGTCGTGAACTGGCAATAAACTCTTAAATCTTATCAATTTGTCTAGAGTTAA